ATGTTGAATGACATTTATGGCCTTTCTAATGTTGTCTGTCATGTCCCTGTGAAGAGTAAAACCGGTTTGGTCCCTAGCTATATAATCTCCAATAATTTGGTTAATTCTTTGGGATATAATATTAGTAAATAATTTATAATCATTGTTTAACAATGAGATTGGACGGCAAGATCTGGGGTCTTCAGAATCACGGTCCTTTTTGTGAATTAGAATTACCTTTGCTAAATTCCAAGAATTTGGGATTGGGCCCATTTCTAATATAAAATTAAATAAGGTAAGAAGAACTGGTGAAAGAGAAGAAGAAAATTGTCTATAAAATTCGGAAGTATAACCATCAACCCCTGGAGATTTCATAGACTTAATGGCCAGTGTTAATTCCCTTTTAATGGCCAGTGTTAATTCCCTTTCATCGATGGGATGATCCAAATTTTTTTTAATGAATATTAGTCAGGATTTTTGTTGATTTGTTGGATTTAATAAAAGACTCAATTATTTGTGAAGATGGGTTGGCTGATTTATATAATTGTGAGTAATATTTAGTAAATATTGATGATATGAGTTGAGAGGATGTCAACAGGTTGCCCTCACTATCTCGTATTCCTTTTATGCCTGAATCTAGTTTCTTTTTTTAACTTTCCATGCTAATAGATGCAAGGCTCTTGAGTTATTGATCCAGTAGGCTTGTGTCAGCAAGCTGCCAAAGTATTTCTTATGTTACTTCTGATACCTGAGTTATGTCTGTACCTGTCTGTATTTCCCCCCCCCTTTTTCAGGGATGCGCTCAAACTGACATTCGCATGTCTCTTTAGTAACTGCATTCTTGTTAGCCTACGCCAGCTATGCTCTGCTGTAACGTTATCTTTCCAAGGTCACAGGTGGTCGAGTGGAGAACTTTTGCTTTGGCTTTAATGAGTAGAAACTGAGAGAAACGCATTGTACTGATAATGGCTTAGTCGTTGTTTTCCCAAGGGGTTGGGCGTGCAAAAAGCACAGTAGTCCCGCACGGGAATCATGTCTATTGGCTGTAATAATTATGAACTTGCTTTAACCTTTCCAACTCATTGAGATGCAGTTATTCTGAACAGTGTTTCTGTTCAAGTGACTCATGGCTTCAATAAAGTAACCCTTTTAATAAGTGTGTACTCCGTTGATTGCTGTGGGACCTGACACAAACGTTATTGACAAGTCAAATATCAATGCCTTCAAATGAATATTATGAAATGCCAAACGACTGTACATTCTTAATAAATATTCAGTTATCAATGTTTTCTTGTAACCAACTCCAAAAATATTTAATACAAAGTCAAAAGCTCCAAGCCAGAGTTACAGTGCAACACATAAAGTTCCTAAACTCTCAAAATGCAATAATCATGAACTATGAAGCAAGGTTTACAGGAGGACTGATATGCTGCACTGAAACGCTTGGTAGCTGGGAGGCTACTGGTCGAAAGAGATTTCTTAGAGCGTTGGTTCCGACTTGAATTTTGATCTCCACAATGGAAGGGAGATGCAGCTTTGAAAAAGAGGACGGAAGCAGGTTTATATGCCTAGGATACACGTCGCTGCATAACTTCCAAATGTTGATCTGTTATATACATTTGTCGTTTTGAAAACTTTGGAACTAGTCGTGTTATATTTAAAGCTCATGATTATTGCATATGGAGAGTTTGGGAAATTTATGTGTTGCGTTGTAACTCTGGCTTGGAGCTTTTGACTTTGTATTAAATACTTTTGGTGTTCGTTACAAGAGAACCTTGATAACTGAATATTTATTAAGAATATATTTATTAAGAATATGTTTGGTATTACAACATATTCCGTTAAAGGCATTGATACTAGACTTGTTAATTGCATTCGCAGCAGTCAAGATGGAGACATAAGAACATAAAAACATAAGAGAAGCCAATGTTGGATCAGGCCAATGGCCCATCTAGTCCAACACTCTGTCACATGGCCCATCTAGTCCAACACTCTGTCACACAGTGGCCAAAAATACCAGGCGCCATCAGGAGGTCCAGCAGCGGGGCCAGGACGCTAGAAGACATCCACTTCATGGAGAGTCTTTCATCAGTATGTCCTTCCCTGTCAGAGTTTCAAACCTATTTACACAAGAATAGCCATCCACTGCCAACAAAATAAAACAGAAATCCAGTGGTATCTTTTGTTAGAAGAAGAAGCGTAGGTTTTTATACCCTGCTTCTCTCCACCTTAAGGAGTCTCAGAGTGGCTTACAATCGTCTTCCCTTCCTCTCCCCAGTTTGGTGTAGTGCCAGTTTGGTGTAGTGGTTAAGTGCGCGGACTTTAACCTGGGAGAACCGGGTTTGATTCCCCACTCCTCCACTTGCACCTGCTGGATGACCTTGGGCAAGCCGTAGCTCTGATAAGAGCTGTCCTTGGAAAAGAGCAGTTTCTGTCAAGAGCTCTCTCAGCCCCGCCTACCTGTTGTGGGGAGGGGAAGGGAAAGGAGTTCGTAAGCCGCTCTGAGACACCTTTGGGTAGTGAAGGGCGGGGTGTACATCCAATCTCCTCTTCTTCTTTTACCTCACAGGGTGTCTGTTGTGGGGAGGGGAAGGGAAAGGAGTTTGTAAGCCGCTCTGAGACACCTTTGGGTAGTGAAGGGCGGGGTATAAATCCAATCTCTTCTTCTTCTTCCCTTCTTCTTCCCCACAACAGGCACCCTGTGAGGTAGGTGGGCCTGTGAGAGCTCTGAGAGAACTGAGACTGGCCCAAGGTCACCCAGCTGGCTTCATGTGGAGGAGGGGGGACTCAAACCCAGTTCCCCA